TACATCTATAAAGACATAAGAGTTTCCCAGCTGTGTCTATTGATAAGTGAGTTCTTACCAGACAGAAAACTATCAACCTCAAATTTCTTTTACATCTTCTAGGCACTTCCCTTTCTCTGGAGGTGATAGGCACTATCAGGACAGGATTGTATTCCTAACAGCCCAATAGCACCTTCTTTCAATGTGACTAGTTTGGAATGTGAGGATGTGACCGGTCGCTTCCCAACTTATGGCTGCCTCTGTTGCTTAGCCAAAGGCCTTAGCCTAAGAACAGGGCCTCAGACTGTCACAGTAAGAGAAAGACCTTACACTGGCAGACAGTGATTTTGATTCTTTCTGTTATACCTCTAACTAGTCAAGTGATAAGAATACACCTAAATTCTTAAAGTACAGGCCTTTACAGACAGGCCTGAATATCTATATCCTAACAAGATGGAGAAATTAAGACAAGAGAGGTTGAATGACTTAGCCTAGGCCAAACAGCTGGCCACTGGCAGATCCAAGAATACAACCCAGGTATCCTAAATCCCAGTCTCCTTCACAGTTCATTGGCCTCCATGAGGTGCATCAACAGGGCACTCTCTTGCTTTTTTATTCTCCACCAGGATACTCTTTTTTATGCATTTTTAGTATTTCATTTCTTCTTCTCTCCCTGCAGCTACTACCAGCACCTGATGATGACTATTTACAGCTTTACCATTGTCATTATTTACTATCTTACATTTTTGTTACAGAATAAGATATAAAGTTATGTATAAACAAATGTCTGCAGCAGTGCTAGAGGATGTTCTGCCATATAATTTAAGAAAAGAGTCACACAACTTTAAAGTTCTTCAGTTCTTTTTGAAAAGAATAGATCAGATTCTCTAGCTTGCGTTCGTCCCTTTGTGTTGCTTTGGATGCCCAAAGGGGAATTCCTCTGATGCATATTGGTTGTGAGCAAGCATAGACTTTTCCTAACAGCCATGCCCAGTAAAAGAGAATGTCCACTATCACATAAATAGAAAAGTAACAGTCATTTTATACTTGCCATATTAAAATGTCTTTAAGCAAATGAAATATTAATTCTGCATTACTAAACCAACAGACTGCTGATCAGTCCTCTTACGATAACTAAGGAAATATCCATACATGTAATCCAATCAACTATGTAATATACTGGATTAGTGACACTCATTAATCTAATATAAATTAGCCTTTCTGATTTTATATACTTACGTTTTTTTCTCTGTTATTTTGGGCTACCCTACAAGGCCAGCAAATCTAGATACTGCCACATGCATTTTAAACTACCATGCATTGTAAAAAGAAAAGGAGTACTTGTGGTACCTTAGAGACTAACAAATTTATTTGAGCATAAGCTTTTGTTAGTCTCTAAGGTGCCGCAAGTACTCCTTTTCTTTTTGTGAATACAGACTAACACTGCTGCTACTCTGAAACCATGCACACTTTGTAATAGGTGTTTTGATTTGGATAATACTGACAGTTTAATGAGTCATTCTTCCAAATAAATAGTAAGGCAATATGCTCCAGTCACTCATGTTAACAATAATTCATACAAGAAAAGGACAACAACTTAATTTTGACATTGTTTCCCAATCCTGGCAACATTTACTCTCAAATCTAAAGGCTGAGATTGTAAGCCTCTGGGGCATAGACTTTTTGTTCTGTTCATATAGCACAATGACACTCTGATCCAAGATTAGGGTTCCTAGGCACTATGGTAATACACATAATAAATCAAATTAATAATAACAATAAATGTAGTATTCAATTATTTTCAATTAAAATCTGCCAGTGGAAGCCAAACTAAGGAAACACTGGTCTATTCATCAGTTTTTCAAGGCTTGTGTAGACTTGCTTTACTTGACCAGCACTATAAGTATAGCCTTGCTGAGCATCTTCCTGAGCAGTCTACTAGATTCATCTTTATAGCAACTTACATATATGTGCTTATTTCTTTTATAACGTTGGCTTCCTGAATCTCCTCTATCCTGTTTGTTCACTTGTCACATTTCTTTATATTGTAGAGAAAGAATTGCTACTCTTATTTGTTGTACAGTGCCTAGTGCTGTAGGATATCTGATTCATGTTTGGGGTCCTTAGGCACTAAAGCAATAGAAATAAATGAAACAATAATCAACTACTTGAAAGGTGGTTCCAAAGAGGATGGATCTAGACTATTCTCAGTGGTAGTGGATGACAGGACAAGGAGTAATGGTCTCAAGTTGCAGTGGGGGAGATTTAGGTTGGATATTAGGAAAAACTTTTTCACTAGGAGGGTGGTGAAACACTAGAATGCGTTACCTAGGGAGGTGGTGGAATCTCCTTCCTTAGAAGTTTTTAAGGTCAGGCTTGACAAAGTCCTGGCTGGGATGATTTAATTGGGCATCGGTCCTGCTTTGAGCAAGGGGTTGGGCTAGATGACCTCCTGAGGTCCCTTCCAACCCTGATATTCTATGATTCTATGAAAGGCACATAAGGGAATTAGATGCACCACTCCAAGTGACTCGCAGTGGGAGTTGGGTACCTAATTTCCTCAGGTAGCTAAGGTAGCTACCCACCCTATTTAATGGTATTTAAGCTATCCGACAAAGATACTCATTATAGTTGAATTTTATGGACAAAATTCTGGCCTCAGATTTACAACTCCTATTTACTTCAAGGGTGTGGGCATACATATTTTAGGGCAAAATCTATCCCCATAATCCCTGTCTGAGATAGATGTATTTTCTGTATCATATTATGATCATACAAATGAGTAAGTAACTTTTCTCTGTTAAATACTGTTAATCTCCAGGGCAGGTATACTGCCTAAATGTTTTATTTTTTTTTCCAGTCAGTTGTTTCTGATCTCTTGACAATAAAATTCTCCAAATTTTTCAAAGAATTTACAGGACACAACCACATGGTTCTCTCTATTAAATTTATGAAGGGTGTGTGTGTAAATGTATAAACTGAAGGTAAAAATAGGTCAATAACAGCTGCACTCTAGCAAATCCTTTATATAATTCTGCTTGGGTCTTCACAGCAGTGATAATATATTTCTCGCTTTGCATTCATATTTGCTTTAATAAGAGCCTCTTACTATCATCTGGAGCTAGAATATGAAACAAAGAATAAAGAAATGAGTGAGGGAAAGACTGCATCTTAATAAGTGGTTCCCACAATTATTCTTCAAGCTGTTCATAAAATTCAGTACATAGTTCACCAGGCTCCTGGGTTCCAATTTTGGAAGACTAACTCTCAGATTATTGAATAAAGAGAACAAATATGTTCAATTTTGTTTCTGGCTCAGTCATCCTAAAAATCTAACAGAAAAATAAATATAGTACTTTGATTATTTTGCTTAACTACATCAATTTATACATTTTTATTTATTTATTTTAAAGATACGACTGACATATCAGAGCACATTCACAAAGGCAGCATTTCTTAGCTCTAGCAGGAATGACTGACTACAAGGATTCCTCATCACATAAGGAAAAAATAATCACACTGATCTTTATATTTACAAATTTCCTTTCACTTGCAGTTTCTTTCCATTATGTAATCCATATGATAAATTCTGCAGACCTAAAGAGGTTTACCAAGTCTGATGAGCCTGAAGAGTTTATCAGCTCTGCAGATCTGAAATACTATTAGCCTTGGTATCTCTGTATGGTCTTAAGGAATTTATGAGCTTCACAGGTTGACAAGTGAGGCCCAACCTTGAAATTGGACTTTGGGGTTTTGGCCAGAAAAACATGTTGATTATCTCCCAAATCCATGAAGTGAAGATCTGTGTCCCTACAGAATTTCTCTCCGTATATGACATGCAGATAGAGACACTGTGGTGTTCATAAACTCTGTGAGGGCCGTCTTCCAGAATAGTCTTTATAGACTCCTCAAAATTTTAATGTCAGGGAAAACACAACATATTGAATAATTTCAGAATTAATCTATGATATCACACTTCCAAAAAATCAGTCAAAAGCACCACTCATCATTTAGAAGGACAGAATAAACTAATTTTAAGAGTTTCTAGGAAAAGATATGAGTTATAATGTTCCTAAAAAGAAAAATCAGGAAATGTTTGCATAAGAACTACCTCTAATGTTTTAAATATTCATATTTGATTAATGTCTCTGCCCAATCATCTTCAAGTTTTAAGGGGGAAAGGGTGCAAATCTATTTACCAGCAGGGATTCAGGTTTAACAGACTTAAAGTTGATTGGTTAAATTTTTGAGAAATTAGAAGGGGTGGGTAGAAATGTCCAAATCAGGATTATAACCAAAAATAGTCAGTCTTACTATGGAGACTCCACTGTCTCTTTATAATATGCCCTGAGTTGCACCCTTGAAAGCCTCCCCTGCCATTGCAAGATTAGAAATGGCAGGTTTGTTAAAACCAAGAGCGCCAACTGCTTAGCGATGAGTTTAACACATTCATTTATAATAAACAGAAGGTATGGATTTAGTTCCTATAGCTTAGGGTTAACATTATGTGTGGGGAAAACAAACATTTGATATGAACTATCAAGGTTCTTTCCCCACTCTGAACTCTAGGGTACAGATGTGGGGACCTGCATGAAAACCCCCTAAGCTTATTTTTACCAGTTTAGGTTAAAACTTCCCCAAGGTACAAACTATGTTATCTTTTGCCCTTGGACTTTATTGCTGCCACCACCAAGCCTCTAACAAATATATAACAGAGAAAGAGCCCACTTGGAAAAGTCTTTCCTCCCAAAATCCTCCCAAACCCTACACCCACTTTCCTGGGGAAGGCTTGATAAAAATCCTCACCAATTTGCATAGGTGAACAGACCCAAACCCTTGGATCTTAAGAACAAGGAAAAAGCAATCAGGTTCTTAAAAGAAGAATTTTAATTGAAGAAAAAGTAAAAGAATCACCTCTGTAAAATCAGGATGGTAAATACCTTACAAGGTAATCAGATTCAAAACAGAGAATCCCTCTAGGCAAAACCTTAAGTTACAAAAAGGACACAAAAACAGGAATATACATTCCATTCAGCACAGTTTATTTTATCAGCCATTTAAACAAAACAGAATCTAACGCATATCTAGCTAGATTACTTACTAAATTCTAAGACTCTATTCCTTTTCTGTTCCCAGCAAAAGCCTCACACAGACAGAGAAAACCTTGTTTCTCCCCCCGCTCCAGCTTTTAAAGTATCTTGTCTCCTCATTGGTCATTTTGGTCAGGTGCCAGCGAGGTTATCCTAGCTTCTTAACCCTTTACAGGTGAAAGGGTTTTTCCTCTGGCCAGGAGGGATTTTAAAGGTGTTTAGCCTTCCCTTTATATTTATGACATGAGCATAAAATTATACTGGTAAAAAAGGGAATAGCATAGATCAAAACAGTGATGGCATCCCACTGTCTCTGTTTATATTCCAAATGCCAAGTATTTTAATTGGAAGATTTAGGCTTGGATTACCAGAAGCTTTAGCCTGCTGCTTTACTGAAATCATCCCCTGATAAACAATGAGGTCACTACTAAGCAGGTCTAAATTAAGCACATGAAGAGGCCTTTTCTAGGTTGTTTTTTTCAGTATGAAAATCCCATGCTCTGCCATGCTTGTTCCATGTCATCTAAAGTATTTGTATGATACTTGGTTTTCTGCTATTATCATTGCAAGAAGAGCAACACATTGATTAAATATCAGTTTATTATTCAGAGGATTTTCTATTGATTTTTTTAAGGGTTATAGAAATGTATCTTTGATTACATAGATGTGAATTTGTTAATAATAATCCAGCAATGTTCTTTTCCATGGAAGCCTCCTAATCTGGTACTCACATTTTCTGCTTTTACTGAGTTATAGTAACAGTGTAACAGGTATTATTTTTAACTCCTATTTCTGAGATAGCTCAATATTCCTTTTCACCATTGGTTTGATAGAACTTGAAATGGTAGACTTGGCAGACAAGACTTTCAGAAGTACCATAAGTAGTGATTTTGCTGCTTCAGCTGGGTGCCCAAATTGAGGCAATTTTAAAAGGCATTGAAAATCAGGCCCCTTTCAATTGTTGTTAGTTGGGCACCCAATAACTGGGACATACAAAATCACTACTTTAAAATCTTGTGCTATTGTAAACAACAACAGCAGCCCAGATCCTTCCCTCCAAACAAGGACCAGGGCCCCATTGTGCTAGCATCTGTAGTAGAAGAGGAAGAGGATGTCATAACAGTAAAATGAACATGCCATGCATTATCACTCATCTCAACCTTTAGAAACAATTCTCATGTTTGTCTGAAACTATAGATTATTTGAATATAAAGCACTTACACAGATTTCTATGTATATAAAACATTTCAGAGGCTAGAGTATCAAAGACTGGCTACAAATAATGTCAGGTTGCAAGAGAGTCCGAGAGCATGGGATAGTCCTTCCTGAAGCAGTGCTATTTGTTGGGGGGACACAGGAGCGGGAACCAGTTGTGCATGAGGAGAAAAAGGGTCAGATTGGCAGACAAGAGGAAGAACTGGTTTAGGCGAGGGGTTCCCGCAGGCACTGAGTTTGTGGGTCCAGGGATCCCGGAGTAGACAACTTTTGGGAAATGAGGTGAGCCTTCATGGGCAGAACTTCCCAGAATGACTTCCAGAGGTGGTGAGCAGCAAGGTCTGGAGTCATATGTCAACAACAGGAACTAATAACTCTGATTACAGATGCAGCCAGACAGTTTTAGATCCTGGAAATTTAATCTTCATCAATTTCATGATTAAGTCAAGTGTTGTTTACTCCAATCACAGGAAGTTTGTTCTCGTAAACATTTGATTGCAGTTTGGTTGTTTCATTTCTGTTATGATTTTTTCATCTGTACAAAAACAAACAAAATTATAATTCTGTACTACAATAAAGCCCTTATCTTATACACGAATGTGTGTTATAGTCCAGTTGAAGGTTAAACATCCAAAGCATCAACCAGCAAGATACAACAGAAAGCTGACTTTTGAAAATAATGTCTGTTAAAAAATCAGTTGCCTTTGGTACATTAAGCCCATTAGTCTGACTGCCATTAGGAGAGAAAACTTTTGCACTGAATGCCAAATAAGTAATTTTAGCTCTAAGAGGAGCAGAACTGTTGATGCAGTAGAATATCTTGCTTTTCAGGACTAGTATTTTGCATGCTTCTACATGAAAATAAATTTTAAAAAATTAAACAGTGGGGGTATGGAAGGAAAGAAAGCCATCTTCATGAAGCCTGCAGGCTTTTCTAATTGTTATGCACTCTAATAATGAATGCAAAAGTAATTAATATAGCTGCAGGCACCACAATTTCTGAATGCATAACAAAGCACTGAGATTCCATAATGAATTATAAATGGGGTATATTTTTTTCTCTTCTGAGGTTAGATTTTTATTCTTGCTGTTGAGAATTTACTTTATTAACAGTTCCAGCAGAATGTACATTATAGGCATTATGTGCCCATCAAATATACAACCCTTCTGTTTTGGCCTGGTATTTATTGTTTTCAAAAGATGTTGCTGAGTACAAAGGATGGAATAGTTCGATCATTAAACACCACACAACTTATTGCAGAGGATCTGTATGGCATTTTTCAGCCACTGCTTTGTCAGAGTTGTAAAAGTATATGATCATAATATGTAAAAATCTGTTCACATGTGTCATTTGCTGTGCTCATTGAAGTCCAGAGAACAACATACAGTACATACCTCACTCCATACCCAAAGGAGTGCTCTGAGATCCCCCGGAAGCACCAAGTATAACCTCATTATTCTTTTCAGTATTCTTCCTCCTTTGCTCCCAAAGGCACTCCATTGAATTTTCCTTGTCTTGAAGTGGAGGAGGCATCTTTTAATTAACTCACCTGTATGTGAGGCAACACATTCTTTCCCTTCAATGTGCCGAACTTTTATAACACGTGTGTTGACATTGTTGGCCTAGGCTATTATGGGCTATAAACAAGGGCAAAAAGTGATGCTATGAACTGTAGGAATAAGACACTTAAATGTCCTGCAGTTGAATTGTAAATGTTCCACTCTGTTACTTTTTATTCCTTTTTTCATCACACACTATTGTTTAAAAGGAAATTTATTTTTGCAGTTTGCTGAAGTATTTAGTGTATGCATGTGTTTGGTTTGGTTTGGCTTGTTTACGAAACTATGAGTCTGCTGGTTGTTAGGTTTGAAGAATTAAAATGATACATGCAAACTTTGCAAGGAGATTTTCAGTGACACCATAGACTTATTATTTCCCCCAATATATTTATATTTATATTTATAATTAGGGCTGTCAAGGGATAAAAAAATTAATTGCGATTAATCGCACAATTAATTTTTTTAATTGCGCAATTAATCACACTGTTAAATAATAATAGAATACCATTTATTTAAATATTTTTGAGGTTTTCTACTTTTTCAACTTGATTTAAATTACAACACAGAATAAAAAGTGTACAGGGCTCACTTTATATTTCTTTTTTATGACAAATATTTACACTGTAAAAAACCAAAATAGTATTTTTCAATTCACTTAATACAAGAACTATAGTGCAATCTCTTTATCATGAAAGTTAAAATTACAAATATAGAATTATGTACAAAAAATAATTGCTTTATTCAAAAATAAAACAATGTAAAACGTTAGAGCCTACACATCTGCTCAATCCTACTTCACCGAATCACTCAGACAAACAAGTTTGGTTACAATTTGCAGGAGATAATGCTGCCTGCTTCTTGTTTACATCACCTGAAAATGAGAACAGGCATTTGAATGGCACTGTTGCAGCTGACGTCACAAGATATTTACGTGCCAGATGCGCTAAAGATTCATATGTCCCTTTTATGGTTCAACCACCATTCCAGAGGACATGCGTCAATGCTGATGACGGGTTCTGCTCAATAATGATCCAAAGCAGAGTGGACTGACTCATGCTCATTTTCATCATTTGAGTCAGATGCCACCAGCAGAAAGTTGATTTTATTTTTTGGTGGTTTGGGTTTTGTAGTTTCCACATTGAGTGTTGCTCTTTTAAGACTTCTGAAAGCGTGCTCCACTCCCCGTCCCTCTCAGATTTGGACAGCACTTCAGATTCTTAAACCTTGAGTCGAGTGCTGTAGCTATTTTTAGAAATCTCACATTGGTACCTTCTTTGCATTTTGTCAAATCTTCTGTGAAAGTATTCTTAAAATGAACAACATGTGGTGCAGTCTTGGATGATGACCTATAACAAATAATATATGGCAGAATGTGGGTAAAACAGAACAGGAGACATAGAATTCTGTCCCAAGGAGTTAAGTCACAAATTTAATTAACACATTTTTTTAAACCAGCACATCAGCATGGAAGCATGTCCTCTGGAATGGTGCCAAAGCATGAAGGGGCATACAAATGTTTAACATATCCGGTATGTAAATACCTTGCAACGCTGGCTACAAAAGTGCCATGCAAATACCTGTTCTCACTTTCAGATGGCATTGTAAATAAGAAGCAGGCAGCATTATCTCCCGTAAATGTAAACAAACTTGTTTGTCTTAGTGATTGGCTAAACAAGAAGTAGGACTGAGTGGACTTGTAGGTGCTAAAGTTTTACATTTGTTTTGTTTTTGTGTGCAGCTATGTAACAAAAAATCTACATTTGTAAGTTACACTTTCACAATAAAGAGATTGCTTTTGAGGTGAATTGAAAAATACTTCTTTTATCATTTTTACAGTGAAAATATTTGTAATCAATAATAATAATATAAAGTCAGCACTGTACATGTTGTATTCTGTGTTGTAATAGAAATCAATATATTTGAAAATGTAGAATACATCTAAAATATTTAATACATTTTAACTGATATTGTATTGTTTAACAGTGCGATTTATTGCAATTAATTTTTTTGAGTTAATGGTGTGAGTTAACTGCAATTAATCGACAGCCCTATTTATAATATGCTGAATGCAGAGCTGTTCATCATGAAGGGTCACTAAGCACTTTACAGAATTAATAAAATATGTTGTGCTATCTCTACAGTGTAAGTGCTCAGCTTGGAATTTGGCTAGGACAGTAATGTACCTACTCTTACAAAATGTACTGAAAAGGGGTTTAATGAATATAAACTGTCACTGTGTTATGGTACAAATCAGGGAGTCTCAAAACTATAGCTATGCTGTACTTTTGTGGGTGTGGATGAAAGTCCCAAATCTTATATAGAATATGCATTTTAAACTCCTCAAAAATATTATACCATCAATACGTCCCTTTGCCAGGGAAAAAAAGAATGCCTTTCCTGACAAAAACCCGACAGGGGAAATCATGCTCCTGGGAAATTCAGGCTCTATCTACTGTGGAGCCTTTACAATTGCAAGCAGAACCAATACAGCCCAGAGGTGAACTAAGCCTGAGGATGTGGAGAACTAAACTGAGGATGTGGAAAAAGCTAATGTACTCAATGCTTTTTTTGCCTCTGTCTTCACAAACTAGGTCAGCTCCCAGACTACTGCACTGTGCAGCACAGCATGGGGAGGAGGTGACCAGCCCTCTGTGGAGAAAGAAGTGGTTAGGGACTATTTTGAAAAGCTGGATGAGCACAAGTCCATGGGGCCAGATGAGCTGCATCCAAGAGTGCTAAAGGAGTTGGCGGATGTGATTGCTGAGCCATTGGCCATTATCTTTGAAAACTCATGGCAATCAGGGGAAGTCCTGGATGACTGGAAAAAGGCTAATGTAGTGCCCATCTTTAAAAAAGGGAAGGAGGAGGATCCTGGGAACTACAGGCCAGTCAGCCTCACCTGGGTCCCTGGAAAAATCATGGAGCAGGTCCTCAAGGAATCAATTCTGAAGCACTTAGAGGAGAGGAAAGTGATCAGGAACAGTCAGCATGGATTCACCAAGGGCAAGTTATGCCTCACTAATCTAATTGCCTTCTATGATGAGATAACTGGCTCTGTGGATGAGAGGAAAGCGGTGGACGTGTTGTTCCTTGACTTTAGCAAAGCTTTTGACACCGTCTCCTGCAGTATTCTTGCCAGCAAGTTAAAGAAGTATGGGCTAGATGAATGGACTATAAGGTGGATAGAAAGTTGGCTAGGTTGTCGGGCTCAATGGGTAGTGATCAATGGCTCCATGTCTAGTTGGCAGCCGGTGTCAAGTGGAGTGCCCCAAGGGTCAGTCCTCGGGCCGGTTTTGTTCAATATCTTCATAAATGATCTGGAGGATGGTGTGGATTGCACCCTCAGCAAGTTTGCAGATGACACTAAACTGGGAGGAGAGGTAGATACGCTGGGGGGTAGGGATAGGATACAGAGGGCCCTAGACAAATTAGAGGATTGGGCCAAAAGAAATCTGATGAGGTTCAACAAGGACAAGTGCAGAGTCCTGCACTTAGGACGGAAGGATCCCATGCACCGCTACAGACTAAGGACCGAATGGCTCAGCAGCAGTTCTGCAGAAAAGGACCTAGGGGTTACAGTGGACGAGAAGCTGGATATGAGTCAACAGTGTGCCCTTGTTGCCAAGAAGGCCAATGGCATTTTGGGATGTATATGTAGGGGCATTGCCAGCAGATTGAGGGAAGTGATCGTTCCCCTCTATTCGACATTGGTGAGGCCTCATCTGGAGTACTGTGTCCAGTTTTGGGCCCCACACTACAAGAAGGATGTGGAAAAATTGGAAAGCGTCCAGCGGAGGGCAACAAAAATGTTTAGGGGACTGGAACACATGACTTATGAGGAGAGGCTGAGGGAACTGGGATTGTTTAGTCTGCAGAAGAGAAGAATGAGGGGGGATTTGATAGCTGCTTTCAACTACCTGAAAGGGGGTTCCAAAGAGGATGGATCTAGACTGTTCTCAGTAGTAGCTGATGACAGAACAAGGAGTAATGGTTTCAAGTTGCAGTGGGGGGGGGGGTTAGGTTGGATATTAGGAAAAACGTTTTCACTATGAGGGTGGTGAAACACTGGAATGCGTTACCTAGGGAGGTGCTGGAATCTCCTCCCTTAGATATTTTTAAGGCTTGACAAAGCCCTGGCTGGGATGATTTAGTTGGGGATTGGTCCTGCTTTGAGCAGGGGGTTGGACTAGATGACATCCTGAGGTCCCTTCCAACCCTGATATTCTATGATTCTATGATTCTAAGCCATCCTGTTACATCAGCCCCAGTTAGGCACTGCAATATCCATTATAAAATTGGACCCAGCTGCCCTTTAACCTCCTTTAATTCCTGTGTGGCTCTGTCACAATCCTGGCCTCAGCTTTATACTGCATCCCAAATATGATATCTCCAGTGTGATATTCCACAAAAACCCAGTGCTGGAGCACTGATTTAATACTGACAAAGAAGAGAGAGTGCTGCCGACTGAAACACTAAAGCTGCTTCCTACACCACTCAGGTGTTTCTTGGAGGTTTCCCATCCAACTAGTGACCTGGTCTAACAATATTTACTGTGTCAATTCTCCCATATCTATACATATTTTGGTGATATTATGTTTATTATGGAAGGTTTTTCAGATGATGTACTTAATAGTCATTGGGCCAGAGAAACAGAAAGGATGAATCAACAGCCCAATTATGGTTTCTCACCTGAACTGTGAGAAACCAAGTTCAAGTCCCTGTTCCAATGGCTATTTAGTTTTACCAAGTGGAACAACTTCAGTAGGAGAGATTGAGAACAAGCCACTCAGAATAGCTAAAAAGAAAAGGAGTACTTGTGGCTCCTTAGAGACTAACAAATAGCCAATAACCCAGTGGTTAGGACACTCACCTGAAAGGTAAGAGACAAGTTTTCTAATCCCTCCTCCACATCAGGCAGAGGGGAGATTTGAATCTGAGCTTCCTCTATCCTTTGTGAGTGCTCTAGCCTTTGGGATCCTGCGTAACAGGGGGGTGCCTAGCTAGATGATCACAGTAGTCTCTTCTGGCCTTGGACCTACGAACTCAGGTCTTTGGATTCCACTAGGTGGCAGGGTGTCTAAACATTGTCATACACATTGTAAAGAGAGTGGTCACTTTGGATGGGCTATTACCAGCAGGAGAGTGAGTTTGTGTGTGCGGGGGCAGAGGGTGAGAAAACCTGGATTTGTGCTGGAAATGGCCCAACTTGATTATCATACACATTGTAAGGAGAGTGATCACTTTAGATAAGCTATTACCAGCAGGAGAGTGGGGTGGGAGGAGGTATTGTTTCATGGTCTCTGTGTATATAATGTCGTCTGCAGTTTCCACAGTATGCATCCGATGAAGTGAGCTGTAGCTCACCAAAGCTTATGCTCAAATAAATTGGTTAGTCTCTAAGGTGCCACAAGTACTCCTTTTCTTTTTGCGAATACAGACTAACATGGCTGTTACTCTGAAACCTAAACATTAAATGCTGCAACACTGAGCCTAGCCCCAAGTTTAAATGTGTTATGGGCCCATTCATTTTAATTAGGATTTACACAATATCTCATGTGCTATCAGCCATCAGTAACGCATGAGTACAAATAATTTGTTTTATTTTATAGAAGAGGCTAGCAAGCGCTGCTGATAGCTTAGTTTATAATCAGGGTCTGGCTTTTCATTTCTGAACTAAATGGATAGATTCAAATTTGACTTCCTCTGTTAACTAGTGGGTAGTAATCTGTAATTCAACACACAGTATTTTGGTGTGCTAGTTTGTGAGAGTGGAAATTAAATTATCTCCTTTCTCTCCATTGAAATGCCAGCCCCTCAGTGCATTCCACATGTGGCAGCTCTCCCACCAGTAGAAGTATATTCTTTTCAATTTGCTCATAAAATTTCTTCATAAACTTATGTTGTTTGAAAATGACCATCATGAGATATGGATGTAATAATTATATTGTCTTGTAACACACTACTGAACAAGTCAGCATATCTGTAAAAGTTAATTGGATATGGGGGAATAGTATATTTTGTAGCATATTTATTAATTTGATGTAAAAATCTACCTATTATCTCTTCTCTAAATATTTTCTACTTGATTTATTTTGTCTAACTTTTAGATAACACTGCTGTTTAGTCTGAGAAAGCCATCTGGGAACAACAACCCGATTGCCACAAAAGCATTCGTTTAGCTGATGTATCTCTTTAATGAAAGCTAAAAATGATCTAGCTTGGGTGTGTAGGACTACTGATATATGTTGTTGATAAATTCATGGGCTGTAGTTTAAAACTAGTACTTGATGTTTTTGAGATTCCTTATTTCCCAATCAGAAAAACACTGATTCTTGTTCTTCATTTGTTTTATATAATTAAATGAGACTTCACATTTTGGTATAAGCAGATGCTCATATGCATTTTTCCTGCCTGCATGTTGCCAGAATGTTTTTTTAGGATACCTGCCACAGTTGAGCAACTCCCGTAACGTAATGTATCTGGCACAGTTTCCAAAAATTTAAAAATGCCAGGCTAACTTAGTGAAATGTAAATTTAAAATAAAGGACTTAATTAATCATTATCTATTCTTCTGTTAAAGGGAGGATACAGGTTAGCAACAGATTTTTTTCTTAGTATATTTCTTGACCTAATAATGAAGAGTTTATAACAAATCAGAAAGATGATGTTTTCTTTTGTGGAGTGAACAGTTGTCAGTCTTTAAATGTAATACAATAGCTTTTAGTTTTCCTACATTTGTCTTCATCTTTACTAATGAAAAAAAAACAAAGCAAATTCAGATAATCAAGTTTCACAAAAAGACCTTCAAATGCATTTAATTTGAGTTATGAAAGGGGAGATGAAAAAATGTGAGACACTTATTTGTAGGTGAAATTCCAGCCGACTGCATGCTGCACTTACTCTAGGCTGTGTACAATAGCTTGTGTAATCCATGTCTGTGTTTGCATTTTAAAGACCTAACACTCTTCTAGAGATCCTCTTCAGATCTGAATGAAACTAGCGGGTTTCACCAGCTTGATATACAGTTAAGAATTCAAGTGTTTTCATTAAATCATGTATTAATTAGTATGTGTTCTGCATCTCAATCCTGCCTCTGTTAAACTGTATTCAAATCTTCCTTCTTTCTCAGATGTTCAGATAGAATCAGGCCTTATGAGCTTTTTCTGATCTCACACTCAGCAATAAGAATAAAGCTAGTCTGCAGGAGACAGAACTTTCCCCAAAGGGAGTCTGAGATGGTGGAAAGAACACCCTCAGGAGCATCACAAATCTTCCAACTTTCTGCTCCAAGTGCAAGGCATATTTCTTTGCCCTTGTCTTCTCTATCTTTAACATACAGCATCAGGTATATTTATATGGAATGGGAAAAACCCAAAACTAAACTATCCAAACAAGACACTCCACTGCACATGTGTCTCCTTTTGGAGAGAGGATTAAAGAACGAACAACACAGGCCAGATGTGTAGTCATGTTGCTTAAAGAGGGCCGGTTCCAGGCACCAGCGTTCCAAGCAGGTGCTTGGGGCTGCAGTTAGAAAGGGGCAGCAGTGTTTCCGTGGCGGTGGTAATTTGGCGGCAGGTCCTCTGTTTCGCCGGCTGCAGCGGCAAATCAGCAGCAGCTTCTCCCTTTTGCTGTCCGCGGTGGCAGTTTTTTTTCACTGCTTGGGGTGGCAAAAACTGTAGAGCCGGCCCTGTGCTTAAAGCACTACTGAAAGGAGCTTAATATTATGGTGCTGGCATGATATGGGGACCTAGAATAGAACCCTGGTTTTATTGCATTGACTTCAGTGGCATTCCTCCTGATTTATACCACTGTCAGATCAGAATTAGGAACATGCTGTCTCACTTCTCTCAGAATTTTAGGTAACTTTCCAGAATTTGTCAAATTTAGCATCACTTAAAGGCCATACAACACTCAGTCCTGCTCTTCAGTGATGTCAACGTTTTTGAAAGCTTGTTGATGGAAAACAATCTGAGTGCATTCTATCTGCCGATTCAAACAGCCTTAACACATGAAGCCACTAAATAATGAATTATATTCTGTGTTATCTTCAGAATTTTCACTGACACAAAAGAGCCACAATGAGTAAATTAAGATACTTTCTTTTGTTGCAGTGGCAAATGAACTGCTTGGTTTGGTTCTGAGAAGCTGTTATTGACTCAGTGGTGCAGAATTACCGTGCCCCTCCCACAGCTGTCCTGCAGACAAACTGAAAATATAAGACCAACAATATTCAGTATTCTTTCTCTTTTGTTTATGTATTTGTCTGTACATATATTGAAACCCACAAAAGCATAGGCAAACCCATACCACATCAGACCAGCAAAAGTTCAAACATCAAGACAAAATAGCAAATAAAGTAATCATTACACATAGGCTGCTGACCTAAATGGGAAATGTTCAGTTTTAGAGAGTAGAGGAAGACGATGTACTGTACCTGAACAATGAATTCATGCCATTGCTTCTGATGCTGCCAGCTCTCCTGCTTAGAGCAGCTGCTAGGGTAGTTCAGATACCTCTGTGGTTGGTGCCACTTCATATTGTCTCACAGCAGGCTCCTGGATCTTCAGAAGCCAAAGTGAGGAAAATCGATCTCACCTCCCAGTAGTCAGAATTACTGGAGCAGAAAGTGATTAAGTTCCATCTGCTGCTTTGTGATGTGACTGGCATCTTCAAGGGACACTGGGGTAAGAAAACAGACATACATTTTCTACATAACTCTCTCATGCTGCATCATTGATTCAGTTTATATTGGCTCCAATATAGACAATGGAATTTAATCATGTGCCTAAGTTCTTTCTTTAGTCGGTATGGGCTGATGAATCAGGGCTTCAGTAAGGGAATGGAGATATTGGTGGAGGAAGAGGGGAGTTATTTTGTATAGACATCATCCAATATTTGTTTCTGTACACCTGCTGAAGCTTTACTTAAAAGAAAGAAACAAAACTATGAATCACACATTCAGTGTGTGTTGCGTTAGTGATTTCCCTTTCCTGTCTTCCATCCTTTCGGATTTTCACTCTTTCTGTTTCTCAAATAATGGAGTAGAGACCAAAAGCATGGTGGAATACTTCAAGTGATATATACACCCACACACACATACACACATAAAGGTTCTGATTTTCCACTTAGTTTTGTCACTGGTACCAGTGAATTCTTACACTGGTGTAGTTCCACTGAAATCAGAGAGTCACACTGGTATATAATGGATATAGTGCAGTGCAGTGCAGTGGGGAATCAGGTATAACATGTGTTTTAACTATTTACCTGAGACTTCTCAAAATAGATTACAGGGAATATCATGAAATACCAGTCTTAATATTTATAGATTCATAGATTGCAAGCCTGAAGGAACCATTGTGATCATGTAGTCTTGTAGCGAGGTGGAGTGTCTTCCCTCTGATGTAGACAGGGAGGACCCACTCCCAATCCCCTGGTGGGCAGATGGACTGGTGGAGTAGGGTGGGCACGGGTCCCCCTTCCCCCTGCTGCCAACCCGACCCCTGGGGTGGCAGCCTACTCACCGTGGTCCACACGGCCTGCGTTTGTTTGCTGTCTGCCCCAGCCAGGGAGCTGGGCCACAGATTTCTTTTGCTCTGCCCTGCCCAGAGGGCTGAGCCTGACTGTTCTAATTCCCTGTTGATCAGCTTTCAGTGATTAGGTGGTGTACTAAGGCCTCCCTCTGATGCAAACAGAGAGGAACCACCCCAAGCCACTAATAATATGATTTCCTGTATAACACAGGCCATAGAACTTCCCCAATAATTCCTAGAATATCATTTAGATTTAGAAAAACACCAATCTTGATTTAAAATTGTCACTGATGGAGAATCCGCCATTTCTCTTTGTAAATTGTTTCAGAGGTTAATTACACTCACCATTATAAGTTTACTTCTCATTTCCAATCTGAATTTGTCTAGCCTCAATTTCCAGCCACTGTTATATCTTTCTCTGCTAGACTGAAGAGTCCATTATTAAATATTTGTTCCCTATGTAGATACTTAGACACATCCTTTTCTTTGTTAGACTCAAGGTGCTCAATCTATTGAGCTTATCACTCTAAGGCATGTTTTCTACCACTTCCTCTTTCCATCTTTAATATTTTATAATCAGTAAATGGTTGATAACATAGTCCCTGAACCTGCAACTGTTATGAATTAAGATTGGATGGAAAATAATTCTGTTTCACAAAAAATAAGAGGTTTTGAACTTTGTTTAGTTCTTGATTAGAACAAAAATGAGACTTTCAAAATTTAGGCAAAAAAATATGAGACACTCTCCATAATAGTTAATAGTCCAGTGATTAGGACTAGACCAGTGATTAGGACATTCAGTACCTGATTCAGAAACACTGATTCAGAGTAGGGAGCTGACCCTGAGTTTCTCACATTTCAGATCAATGCCCTGAACAGCAGTCATTTGCTGTTCCAAGATGGTGTGTGTATGTGAGCGTGCGCACGCATCTCCCAGCCCCCACTCCAGGAAACATACCCAATTAAATTTTCATCAAAACCAATATATTTATACATATGAAAAATCACACTGACTTCAGTGAAACTTCTCATAGATTCAGAGGCCAGAAGGGACCATTGTGGTCACATAGTCTTTAGAATGTGGTCACCTTCTGTATAATACAAACCATAGAACTTTCCTAAAATAATTCCTTTTGAAATAGATCTATATGTCTTAGAAAAAAATCCAATCTTGATTTTAAATTGTCAGTTATGGGAAATCCACAACAAACCTTGGTAAATTGTTTCCATGGTTAGTTACACTCACCGTTAAAAATTTACACCTTATTTCCATTCTGAATTTGTCTATCTTCAACTTCTAGCCACTGGAACTTATATCTTTGTCTGCTAGATTGAAGAGTCAATATCAAATATTTGTTCCCCAAATAGGTACTGATAGACTGTGGGCATGCCACTCCTTAACTTTCTCTTTATTAAGTTAGATAGACTCAAGGATCACAATTACTGTAAAGCATGTTTTCTAATCCTTTAATTATACTTGTCTCTTCTCTAAGCCCTCTCCAATTTATCAGCATCATTCTGAATTGTAGGCATGAGAACTGGACACAGTACTTAAGCAGCAGTTGCACCAGTTCCAAATATAGAAGTAAAATAACCTCTCTACTCTTATTCAAGTTTCCCCTGTTTATGCATGCCAGGATTGTATTAGCCCTTATTCAAATACACAAAGTTAACCAAGTGGGTAAGCATTTCCTGTATCAGTGCCACAGTTTGTAGCCTTGTATATCTGCACACAAGATTTACTTGAGAAATACTGGAATCTTCTACTAAAGGTCATATTTGAATATTTGACCATAAGGGTCCTAATCACTGCCTATGCAGCTGAGAATATGCCGAGATTTCTTTCAGGCCTTTAGATATTACCCAGGAAAAGGTTTGGAGGACATAGTTTAGCACTATCAGATTGTAAATATGATATTCTTGGGTTAAGTGGCATATGTAGTGTGTGGAGATGTACAGAAACAGCTCTTGTTAACTGTATTGTATGCTGAAGAGACGGAGGGGGAAACAAAGACCCATACAAAGAAAGAGGAGTGTATTATTTTTCTGGCATCCTTGTAAGAGTGAGTGACTCAGTCAAGCTTTACATTTTCGTTCTGTGAAAATCTCAGATTGATATGTGAAGTAATAGGGGGGTTGTAGGGGGCTGACTTTTATCTGTGTCTAACTATAATTTTTTTTTCATTCTACTGCACCTTAGAGAACAAGTTACAAAATAAAAGATGAATGCATCTATAAAAGTTCCAGAAACCAACATGTTTAGTGTGAACCTCTTCACCCAGTACATTACTCATCATTAAAAAAATTCTCAAACAGTAAGATCCTGTGACAATAAGGTGATGTACTATTGAAATGAAACAGAATTCAGTACCCCAAACAATATTTTACTCTTAAGTCTGTACACTTCTTATAAATGTATCCAAACTTTATTAGAAGGGTATGCGTAAAAAGAATAAGGCCGAACAGATAGAATAGATTCTGTGCATTGTATGTGGTAGGATCCATGGGAGCAGAGACACAAATTGAGATAGCTAGGTTCAGGGAGACATCTACAAAGGTGGGTAACTCACCTTTGAAAGAAGAACTGCAGGTCAGAAACAAACTCCTTTTTATTATGTTCCTCCAAAGAACACAATAATAAAGATGGCTGCTCCCACTGATCATTTTAAAAAGTGCATTAATAAAGGAGACCAGTGAGCTGCAACCTCTGGGGGTCAGGTAGGGGGAGAGAAGGGGCATAAAAGGCAATCAGGGATCCACAGGGATTCAAATACTTTACTACAAGCTAAATCAAAGAAAATCTCTCTCTCCACCCATCCTTCCCTTCAAGGTTAAATATTCTGTCAGCCTTTTGAAACACACACAAATAATATAGACTTATCATTGTTATAATGATACTTTTTTCTCTTAATTTTATAGTAAATGTAATAGATTTGCTAAAATTTTTTATTTTGAACAAGAGGTTACCAACATGAGAAGGCTGAGAAACACTGATATAGACTGGTAGCAATTCCCATTATAAAACTTTGTTTGCAGTGCTTATAACTTTGCAAAACTTTAACTATTAGGGATGAAATTTTCCATGCCAGGTGTTTGTCAGAGGCTGAATATTGTTGGAAAAATTCAGCCAAAACAGTCCTGATCAGCGGCCTGCCAGGTTAATCCACTGGCGAGCTGCAAGACAATTTGTTTATATTGACTGTCTGCAGGCATGGCTGCCTGCAGCTCTCAGTGGCAGCAGTTTGCTGTTCCCAGCCAATGGGAGCTGCAGGAAGCAGTGGAGACTGGTTATAGCCTTTGAAAAATCACAATTTGCACATGGTCTGAAGAAGCTTGATAGACCTTTAAAGCTAAAATCTCTGAAGACTCTGTCATAAGAATGATCTTACTGGGTCAGACCAAAGGTCCATCGGGTCCGCTATCCTGTCTTCTGACAGTGGCCAATGCCAGGTGCCCCAGAGGAAATGAACAGAACAGCTAATCATCAAGTGATCCATCCCCTGTCACCCATTCCCAGCTTCTGGCAAACAGAGGCTAGGGATGCCATCCCTTTTTTGAAACCTAAACTCTGTACACAGTGGACATGCTAAAATACAGGTCTGATTAGGGCTTTCCCTGCAATTACTGCCTTGGACTGCTGCAGATTATGCCAGGTCTGACTACTGGAACTGAAAGCAGAAGTCTGTTTCTCATGTATTCTCAATTACCACTCTGCTGGGCTTGAGGAGGAAGCTGCCTGATTCCAACACAGAGGGAACAAGAACTGGACTGGAAGGGAAACTGGGTAAAGGAGTCTGGGTAAAGGGAACTCAAACTGGGGGCTTCTTGTCCACTGTAATCCCCAGGTCCTTTTCTGCAGAACTGCCGCTTAGCCAATGAATCCCCACCCTATAGCAGTGCATGGGATTCTTCCATCCTAAGTGCAGTACTCTACACTTGTCCTTGCTGAATCTCATCAGATTTCTTTTGGCCCAATCCTCCAATTTGTCTAGGTCACGCTGGACCCTATCCCTATGCTCCAGTATATCTACCTCTCCCCCCAGCTTAGTGTCATTCACAAACTTGCTGAGCAAGCAATCCATCCCATCATCGAGATCATTAATGAAGATGTTGAACAAAACCGACCCCAGGACCGATGCCTCGGGCACTCCGCTTGATACCAACTTCCAACTAAATATTGAGCCACTGAT